CTGCTAGTCGTTCTCACTCCTAGCAGCTGCAGAGAGTTGTGCCTTACTTTGGCTCAAGACCGGACTAGCGTATCGCGTGAGTAAAACGAAGGCTCTGTCCGAGCGTTGTGAGTAGCAGTGCTTTGCCAAGGGTTTTGTTGAACTCCGGACTGTCGTTCGGTCTTTTTCGAGCTCAGACCACAGCCGAGAAGAGCTTTGCAGGCAAAGGTTTCACATCGTATGGAGAAAGCGCAGCTATGTTGGCATGGGCAAAGCAGTGAGACTGAAGGCGGGCTGTCTTGGCACGTGAATAATGAGAGTGCGGCTAAGATGATTGCTAGGCCTGCCGAGTACATAAACCGTGGGCAAATGTCAATGGACTGAAAGTAAGGCAGGTTCCGGAATTTAAGTCCGGGGACGTCGGCACAGCCCTCAGCCAAGCCATGGCTAGAGCCTCCCAAAGATCTCGTCCTTTACACTATGTTTAGAGAAGATGGATTTGCGCACTATCAAGGACAAGACAGCCAAAAGTCTCACACTGGAATGCCTATTCCGCGATAAGCTGCCTGGAAAACACAAATTTCTGAATCGCCAGAAACTCTGGGCAGTCCTACAACTGAAGCCTATTTTTCGCCCAAACGGTGAATGGGCCCACATCGATTCGTGGGGCGACCATGTTCGGGTCCCACCGCACTCCTTCTGCGAGAAGTTGCAAGATGCGCCCATACGTGCCACCAAGGGCCAGCCTCTGCCCCAGAACCTACCCAATCCCGTTCAGTGCCCGCCTCCCAAAACTTCAACTACTCGGTCATGGGCTGATGCCACTGAGAACGAGGAGCGCGAGGCCCTGACGAAGAAGCCCAAGGCAGCCCATGATCCGGAGGCCAAGCCATTTGGTCCACCAGAAGCCCAACAGTTCCTCCCGGAAGAAGTGACCACCAAAGCCATGCCGACCAGGCCCAACAAACAGCAGCCCCCGGAGACTCACCTTATCGATTCAACTTCAACTACCTCGATCAGAGAGCCAGGCCTCGGTGGCAACACAACCAGCCCCAGCCCGTCGGCCTATGCATGATCTGGGGTCGCAGGGCCTGGATCAATTATTATGCCGGCAGAGTCCTCCGAAGAGTATTGGTACACCATGTACCGGGAGGACGGCGCATGCTGCCTACCCGGTTGGCTGGCTTAGATTCAGCATCGCCAGCCTAATAGCCGAAGTTTGCCGGATTGCAAGACCCGCCTCACCCTCAGCCTACAGACAACGGACACCCGGCAGGGACCTCTGATGCCCAGCCTGGGTCCGACGGCCTCCATCGGGATATTCTCAGCCTACCAGCCCATTTCAGACCGGGATGCGGCCGTTACTGGCACGATGGTTGCACCGGAAGCCTCAACCCCAGGAATATCAAGAATATGCCAGCAAGGCCTACTGCACATCGCATCTCCAGAGATGAGCCTTCTGGCGTGTTGGCCCATGGTCGCATCAACGAGGCTTTCCGCTTCTCAGCTTATCCAGCTGGACAGGCCTCGCCTAGATGAGGCCTTGTACGAGGTCACGTCTATCCGAAGTGACCTGTCAAACTTGTTGCAGCCCAGACCTAAGAACACTCTTGCCACATAAGCCCGAATAAGGGGAAGGAAAGACCTCATACACCCACGCCTCCACCACCCAAGCGCCCTCGCGGGACCCCTTTCACACCGCCCAAAACATTGAAGGGCAAAGGCAAGGGGGTAAAAGTGGCAAGGGAAGCCCTAACAAGCCCAAATCGGAAGATCGGCCCGCCAACTGGGTCTTCAAAGCCCATGGCAAAGTTCTGTGCAAGCGCTATCAACGCAACCTTGGCACCATAGCCAATTGCCGATTTGCCCATCTTTGCGCGGTTCGCGGGTGTGGCAAAGACCACTGCGCCATTCACCACTACAGCAAAGCCCCTTGACTAGCCCAAGAGCCCGCGCAGCCCAAGTTAGCCTCTTGCCCGTCTGAGCCCGAGACTCAGAAGCCGCTTCCTCAGATCTCGCCACCCCCCTCGGTCGCGGGCCAGGGGGGTCCGCCTCCTGATGCCGGAAAAGAGAGCATGAACAAGACTCCGCCAGCCGATCTGGGAGAGAGTAACCACGCGTCGAGTCCACAGCCTTGGGCTGGGCGTCCCACTTTTAAGCGGCGCTTCGCTAACAGAGTTTGGACTTCGGCAGCCTACAAACGTGCTCGCAGGGAAGAGCACATTGACCCCCCGAAAGTAGTGCTCTTGGACACAGCCTCCAGCCTAGGAGCCCGTTGCGCCTCCCTTGCCAACAGAGAGGCAACCCCGGATACCAGCAAGCAGCCGGCACCCTATGACGAAATTATGCAATGCATATGGGGGAGATCTACGTTGCAGTCGTCGCAAGCCTCCCCGACATAGCCCAAAATGCGGAAGAAGCCATTGCCCTTCTGCAGGCGATCCAGGCCACAGCCTCTTGGGCGTACGATCCACCAGGATCACGTAATCCATAAATTTCAAGAGTTCATCGCCTGCCTACACGACTCTTCAATGCAGGCCCCATCCAAGACAATATAGTCCTAGCCTCCTCCCGTCTGCCTACTTGGCCGTGCGTAGACGAACAACTCATGGCCCTGGAGGCTATGGGTAGAATCTGCAGCCTACATCTCTGCCGCGCAGGCCTCAACACCATCTCCTTCACAAGTGGAGGCCAAGGGGTGCTTTGTGCCTCACCGTCCGCCCATCTGTGATGGTGCCGGGTCTGCCAGCTCTGCCGATCACAGCATCCCGAGCCGATCAGTCCTAGCCTCAGCCGCCCAAGCATGGCTCAAATGGGCAGCCGAGCATGACCTAGCGGACCTAGCGCAAAGTGTCTTCAGCCACATTAGCCTGAGTCCACCCCATCTCAGAGGAGGAGCAGTCACACGCCCTGGGTATACTCTGCCACTCGCTTGGCCTAGACAGACGTCAGCCCAGGCCAGCCCTTTTGCCTAGAGCTCATGAAAGCCTTTGCTCGCCTAACACAGGACCCGGATTTTGACCTGAACTTTCTAGCCGGTTTAGGGTTTAGGGTTTAGGGTTTAGGGAGTCCATACAGGTGTATTTTCAGATATCAAGCCTACCGGGCTCTGGCCTCCTGCCAAACTCCAGCCGCTTTCGAGGTCAGGCCTAGAGGTCTGTCAGAGGAAGATCCTCAGACAGTCCTCCCTACTAGCCGAAGAAGAGGCCTCAGGGTGGATAAAGCAAGTGCCTGGAGGCCTCAAGGCTGCCAAACAACTTTGGTCTAAGGGGATAGCCGTGGGCAAACTCAGCCTCGTTAAAGCCGAAGGCAGAGACCCACGCCTCGCACTGGATAGCACCATCTGCCAAGTGAACCCTCTTTCTCTTTGCCGCATTCCAGAAGCACAGTACAGGAAGTCCGCCGATCCTTCCAGCCTCAGGACCCTCGAGGCGCCTATACGTCGGCGAGCATAGACTTTAAGGCGGCCCAAAAAAGAGTCAAGGTGCATAGCTCAGAGCAGGGCCTACTCCTGTTCGCAATCAACGGTACCCTATGGAGGTACGTGGTGTGCCACTTTGGAGCCAAGTTCTCTGCCTACTGGTGGCAGAAAGTCGGGGGCCTAATTACCCGCCTACTACATGCCTTTTTAGCCGACCGCCCACATAGGGCCTGGCTCTATGTGGATGACTTGTTAGCCACCTTGCTCTGCGCCTCGGCACACGAGTCATTGCTGATACTAGTACTGATGCTCACTTGCCTAGGAGCACCGATCAGCTGGAAGAAAGCCTCCATAAGGGGATAGCCTCGTGTGGTGCGGATGGAGATTCAATTTCGCCTACGAAACCGTCGAGCTGTGTGCAGCTAAACGGGAAAGGCTTCGGCTTCAGATCCAAGTACGAACATTAGCCAAGTTCTCAGGCCCTATCTAGCCCCCCTATATCGCCTCTTAAATAGCCCGCCGGGAGCCAACTTCTCCATCGCGCCTCGCATGTGGCCAGCCTTCCTGCACTGCCTAGACTCTAGAGCAGTCCTGACCAAGGAGTGCACGGGCCTTAGCATACCCTTGAACTCCAGGGTGATCGAATGGGGCAACAAGCCTATCCACTGCAAAACGGACTTACCTCTGATGTCCAAGCCTACCCGTCACACATGGGTTCGTGTATCGGATCCGTCGTGCCCAGTCATTAAAATGACCAAAGCAGCCCACATCTGCACGAATCTCAGCCATACCCACCACCCCTCTGTCCCTGCCTCCCATTGCCTAGCGAGAGCCGACGCTATGGCGGGGGGATCTCGGGTGGGTATCGGGGGCTGGATCTCCACCAAGCACAGCCTAGGCCTACACGATGAACGAGGTCAGGACCTTCTGGTCCTTTCTCACCAAGGAGGCCCAACGATACATAGCCTGTTTTGAAACGTTGGCGCAACTCGCCTTAGCAATGACAGTCAAAGCCCACCATGGCCACTCACGCATGAACATTTGCCTGCCTACTGAGAGTGACAATACGCCTACTGAAGGAGGCATTAATAAGTTGTTCACGACTTCTTGGCCTCTGTCTGAGTTCCTCGGCCTAATAGCCTCCTGGAGCTCAGCCAGCGGGATCACGTTGCAGGTAGCCCACGTGGCAGGCTCCCACAATGAGTGGGCCGACGACCTCAGCAGGGGAAGGCTCCAGGCCTTCGCCCATCGCCCACAGGACAGATTCCGAGTGCCGCTACAGCTCCTAGCCTCAGCAGCCTCCGAGGCTTCCTGGACGTCCAAAGACGCACAGGCCACCTCGCCGATCTAGCGCCAGATGCAGCTTACGATAGAGAAAAATGGTGGCGCCAGCTTGCCGCTTCTCTGCATTCCTGCCCCCGCTCAGCATGGAACGGCCTGGCACTAACGACAGAACACCGCCCGCGGTGGGGGACCATACACATGCGCCTATTTTTACCGTTGCTTCTGTCCCTAAAGATGGGGTGACTGTTAGCCTACGGCCCAGCCTCGGGAGCCTCGGGCCTAGGCCCCTTCAGCTAGCCCCGAGCCTACTCAGAAGCATTACGGTCAAAATAGATGCGGCGTGTAGTTCAGGTGGTAGAGCAGTGCAGGCCTAAGAGAACGGGACTCGCTTTTCGCCTTCGAGAGAGAGAGAGAGAGATCATTTGGTTAGTTTGTGCATGTAGATTTGTGGATCAACGGTCGGCATTGAGCATAGATATGTGCGCAGTGGATGCCCTGATGCACTGTTGTTTTTCTGCAAGCACAAGCTGGTACCACTCATGTTTTGGTTTGCAGCTGCTAGAGGCCAAACATGGGGGGCCAAACAACATGAGCACCGACGGTGCGCATTGGTACGACTGATTGCACCCTCCAAACCCAAGTCTTTAACAAGCGGCATCTTTATTTACGCTTTCACGAGGAACGGAAGCTTTGCACTAAATTCCGGCAAGTCGCCACGGGGTCATTGAGACAAACATGTGATGCTGCAGAAGCCCCTTGCACGATCATGGACATCAGCAAGGTGAAAAGCCCAGTTCTGTGAACCGATGCGCCCTTTTGGAACCTTGGCTAGCTTCATGGTCCCTTCCGTGTAGACGCTCTTTGCGGGCACTCTTGAATTGAATTCTTCTACCTGCTGTGTTCTCGCTGTATTCGCGTGCAAGCAGCTTGATAGTTCAAGCTCCGCCGAGGTCGTTGATGTCCTCCGGCGCAGCGAATTCTCGTCTTCAAAGGTGCGGAACCGGGACCGGTTTGACACAAGACTAGTTGGTTGTAGACGTTGTCGTAGGTGGCACTTCTAATCGGCTTTCTCGCCTCGGTTCGAAGCGTCTGCGACTCACAGGTCGTGGCAGCAAGATTTGATATTCGATCAAGCCGGTCCAGTATTGCTGGCTGAGGCTCCTGTTTTCTGGTCGACCCTGCTTTCTTTGTCATTCCTGCTTTGGTACAGCCTGCTGCTTACATTCTGAACTCAAAATACTCTGGAATGCAAGTGCAGCTCTGGTGTGTCCGAGGCTATGACTTGACTCGTGCCTGTGACGAACAGACAGCAGCACTTTGGGCAAAATGTGTTCCCTACTCAGAAGTCGATAGATGTCGTATGTGGGGTCGAAAGCTTCGCACATACGGCTCATGTGTTCATTCGGCCGTTTCTGACACAAATGGGTGCCTGCATGGTCTAGATTCGGCACACATTTTCTCTCGTTGCAGCTTCAGCTATAGATACAAGGCAGTCGGTTGGCTTGTTTTACTGTGCACAGCTATCTGAAGAATTGAAAACGATAATGGACAGAGTTGTCGCTTGCTTATGCGATAACCTGCTCACCTGCTTGATGTAGGCTGCAAACATCTTGCTGGCTACTCGCGATTTGAATCGGGTCGTGGCACGCGACGCCTTTGAGCAAGGGCAGCGCAGCAAGCCGAGTGCGGAGAAAGCTGAGGTTTGCCATGAAGCGTACAATGCCTGGCATGTTGTGTCACCACATCCCAACCCACGAATGCAGATGCAAAGCCTTGAAGTCTGTAGCCGGAATTGACAGCAAATTGGTTTGGCAAGGTTCTTCCCGTGCGTGTCGCCGGCTTTGCTGAGCAATTTGGCAAAGGCAGAACCATTCCCATTTAGGCCTTGCAGGCCGGGGCATCGCGGCAAGTCGCAGCGATCCCTTCCAGGCTCCATCACCTGGGGTCCGATGGCACGTTGGGCTCCGGAGAGTGACAGCGTCGCCAGCGCCAGCGCCCTGATACGTCTTGTTTTCTTGTTTGGCATTTTGGTCGTGAGACGCGCATTGATCCAACTGGCCCCTCGTTCAGGTGCTATCCCCTGATTTCGCTGATGCTTCTGCAGTGAAGCGTTTCGATGCAGTGAGACGGCATGTGCCTTGACTGACTTGGATTTGTAGCCGCTACGAGCAGGCTGCAGATCATACGACTGTAGCCACATGATTGCTGTGAAGCAACATGTGCCTCAAGACTGCCACATCATGTTTCTGCCTGATCGGGACTCAGGTGCAATGCGTTTTTGCAGCAAAAGCGAAGTTGTGGGGTGAGAGGCTTACCGGTTTCCGGCAATAGTGTTGCAAACTCTTCGTTCGGGTCTGTCAGGCAACGATTGGTGTCCGCTGGCTTGTGGTGCAGAGTCAGAGGAGGCAGTTTTGGTGGCGAATGTGGCACTCTGTCTTCCGCGGCTGCTGCGCTTCTGCTTGATGGTCAAGCAAGGCGCAGCTCTGGATGGCTTTGTCTTTGAGGTTCGTGGAAGGAATTACTGCGATGAGCTTGGGAGATTCGCAATGACTGTTCGGAAAGTTCTGGCGGGTTTTAGTGCTGGCGACCCTTCGGGCACAGACTGCTTCAAGGGGCGAGTGGAAGGCCGTGGCTGGTATTTTCAGTTTGCTCGAGAACCAATCTTCGTCACCACTTTTGCACCTTGTTATGACAGTGGGCATCCGAGATACCAGTTCAATCAACACACAGACTCCTGCTTCATTCTGATGCAGCCAGAGGAATCATTCCTCCGGCATGATCTCCCTCCGGACAAGCCGCGAAGTGCAACGAACTGGGAAACACCAGCTGATGTGCGTGATCGCATTCGGGCCAACTTTTGCCGCCACGGACGAGAGTACCGGATTCCTGAGACGACTTCATATCCCCCTGCGGACTTCATCGTTGCACCCATGGACGCGCTTCATGACTCTCCCGTGCGGTTCTGGGAAAAAGTTGGGACGAGCTCAGATGGTCTTTGACGCTTTCTCGCAGCTGGCCTTACTCCATCAAGATTGGATCAAGTCAGGCTGCCTCATAGGAAGAGCTTCAGAGCTGTAGCTGCAGCAACAGCAAGCCGTGGCAAACGAGGAGGAGCAGCAGCCATAAGAGAATAACAGGAGCATCAAGAGCAATCATCATCATCATCATCGTCGTCGTCGTCGTCAAAAACCAGCAGAATCATCCTGATTTTTCTCGGTATCCCCATCGGCATCATAATACCATCATCATCCGTTATCTTATCTTCATTCTTCTCATCATCCTAGTCGTCGGTCGGCATCACAATGATGTGCCAGTGGCCTCGCAACGACATGCAAAAAGGCAGACAACAGTAGACCAGTCCACCGAATGCTAATGTGGTATTTTAAGACTCCTTGCTCGAAGCACCAAGCAGTGCTGTCCCGCTGTCCCACGAATCGTCTAGCAGTGGCAATGGGAAGTCCTGACCTCAGTCGTTGAGCTGGACCTGGCAGGAGCACGAAGGCAGAGTACTCGCGGGCTAGAGGATTTGTTCTGCTTCAGGTGCCATCAATGCAGTGGCCTTTCCTGCGCCGCACTTGGGCAAAGCATTCTACCAGGCCCTTGTTCTGACGTGCTTCAGTCCTTGCCTAGTCGAGGCAGCATGTCTTGTTTTGGAGCATAGCCAAAAGGAATGTGCAGCGCTTTATTTAAGCCCGTGTATTTCTTATTGTTGCGATTTTAGGTGTGAAGAGGCCCAGTGAGAAAGAAATGACACCAACACCTTGGGCATCCTTCATTCCATAGCAAGACAGCATTGTGTGTTGTCGTGCTATCCGTCGCATGGCTTTCTGCACTTCTAGCCCTTTTGCGCATATCGCAGACAGGATGAGCTCCTGCGAAGGTTGGGCATTTTTGGATCGGGTGGCTGTCGAGCAGTGTTCGTTTTTGCGTGTCTCCAGTCTCCATGCGCAGACAGGCGAGATCTCGTGTTCCTGAAAACGGACCAGGATGAATCTATCCCAGCTTGTCATGTCCGTGCGCAGCGCCAGGCTCCCAGGTTCACCTAAGCTTTGCCCGGCAGTGCAACTATCGCTGCTGCATTCAGGAAAGCATTCCTTTCTCTCTACACCTCCGGTGACAATCCTGTACAGCCATGGAAATGCCGAGGCAGCCGGCCCACTGGGCCTTGGTGTGATTGTATTCTCGCATCGTGGTAGGATGTTGGACTACACCTGGATTACATTGATGCTCTTGCAGAATACACAGGCGCACTGCTAAGACTGAGAGATTGTCGTGCTAACCAGGGCTGCCGAGACCTGCTGAGGTGCGGATGTGTTCAGCTATGAGTACGTGGGCTATTCACTTTCACGGCTGGACGGTGACACCCCCTCCGAGGCAGCTCAGACGTGCCTTGGGCACCTTTCCCGGCCTTGTCTTGTAGGCTGGATGCATACGAAGCATTGATGCAGCAGCTGTCTCAGCAGTGCTCACTCGTTCAACAACTTCGCAACATTCATACTGCAGAATAGAGGCTTGGCGATACCTCGTAGACGAGCAGAAGATCCATCCAAGACGGATTGCCGCGGACTTGGATGGCGGGTGTGTTGCTGACGAACTCGTTGCATTCAACTGCCCGATGCCCAGTGAAAATGTACATCACTTCATGATGGCTCGCAGAACTCCTCAGATGTGGAATGTTTCGCGGGTGAAGATCATGTCCGTCTTTGATTAAAGGCATCCAGCTGCTCTCTGTCCTTGTATCGCGCTATGTGCAGTGCCCCACAGCCCGGCCTATCGAAACAGAGTGTTGCCTCATTGCTGCGGCTTTGGCTGGCCTTGCAGTTTGTCTCTGCGTTTCGGAGATGCTCCGGGTGTTTCCACTACGTAGTCTTGCAACTCTTCGACGAGGTCGGGAATCATTCAGGAACGTCGTTGAATGCATCTACGCCGTTTTTGGGGTATCCATGCTAGAGATATATCATGCTGGACGCAGCCTATTGATCACGTTTCGGCTACATGTGAAGGTGTTGGTTGCAGCCAGTTCTGCGTTCTGCTACAAGCGGTTCATGTCCTCTGAGGTGATCTTCGGTCGCTCAATCGGTGCGCCGCTGTCAGTGTGGAATGAGTAGTTCGAAAGAGTTCGACGAATTCTCTTTCTTCAGCTCACGCGCTCGTTGTCAGGTTCTGGTCCGAGCGTGGATCTGGCCTCCAGAGCTGAAGTTGAGGAGCAAAGTCATGGTTTTCCTTATCTTGCAGGTGTAGACTCGCGATGTTTCAGAACCCGTCCAGGGAACAGAGTTCTCGCCGTTGGATGCAGCTGGGGTGATTCTTCAATCTCCACTGGAAAGCACGGGCCCTCTGCGGCTTTTGCTGTTGGTTATCACAGTTTCTGTGTGTTTTCAAACACGACGTGACGCAATGGAAGCTAGGTGGTGCTTACGTCGTCGTGGGCTCGGAGTTGACAAGGCTAAGTTCCGTCATGTCACGTAGGCCAGTGCTTTTTCAGAGGTACTGGGTGGTACGGCAGCGACGTTGGGCAGTGAGCCCATGACAGTGTTGCTGCATTTGCCTACATGGTTCTCAGCCCCAGGCTACTACTTAGACATCTTCCGCAACTACGAGAAGATCGGAAACATTAAAGCTAAGGCCACCTCACTTCTCAATGGGCTGTGCAACGAATTCTGTGGCAGAAGACCTAAGTGGAGACACGAACAGACCGAGGTTGCGATCATGCATGGAACAGATGACGAAGTTGTCCCCTTCTCGAATGGGGAGGCTTGGATGGTAGAACGTCGTTTTTGACAGTACATGGCCTACTTGAGTAAGACAAACGCACACCAAAAGACTGTTGACAGAGGAGTATGTTATCCAAATCATGCTCGGTTTTGAAACCGCTTTTGACACATACATGCCGAAGCCCTCCGACGAAACTTGAGTCCGGGCATGACACGAGGCTGTGCGTGATGATGCGTGAGGCATGCGGGGAGCTTTAAAGCCCCAACATCACAACCTGCGGCATACTTGGAGCCATCATTTGCGTCGTTGCATGCTTGAGTGCCTGATGCGAGTGATCTTGTTAATCAACATGCTGATTCATCGAGAGAGAGAGAGAGAGAGA